ATTATGGTAACTTATGTTACCATTTCCTGAGTCCCAGTTATTTGCTCAGATCATTTTCATTTAGTACGCATGATATTTTGTATTTCTGTGGTATCAGTTGTAATGTTTCCTTTTGAATTTCTGATTGAGCATATTTGGGTCCTTTGTCTTCTATTTCTGGTTAATCTAGCTAGAGGTCTATCCATTTTGTTTATCTTTCAAAGAACCAACTTTTTGTTTCATTGGCCCTTTGTATTTTTTCTTGTTTGTTTCCATTTCATTTAGTTTTTCTCTGAGCTTTGTTATTTCTTTTCTTTTGGTAGCTTTGGTTTTGGTTTGTTCTTCCTAGAAAAGGAAGAAAAAAAAAACTAGAAAAGTTCCATGAGGTGTGACATTAGGTTGTTAATTTGTGATCTTCCTGTCTTTTTGATGCAAGCATTTAAGGCTATGAATTCCCCTCTTAAAACTGCTTTTGCTATATCCCATAGATTTTGGATGCTTGTGTCATGATTGCTCAGTTCAAAGAATCTTTTGATGTCTATCTTAATTTCTTCATTGACCCAAGGATTACTGGTTGTTTAATTTCCATGACTTTGTGTAGATTTAACAGTTCCTGTTGGAGTTGATTTATAGTTTTATTCCACTGGGATATGAGAAGATACATGGAATGATTTTGATTTTTCTGAATTTGCTGAGACTTGTTTTGTGGGCTCACATGATCTATCTTGGAAAATATCCCATGTGCTGATGAGAAGAATGTATATTCTTCAGTTTTGGGGTATAGTTGTTCTGTAGGTATCTGTTAGATCCATTTGTTCTAGAGTCCTGTTTAAGTCAAGGGTTTCCTTGTTGATCTTCTGCCTCTATGATCTATTCAGTTCTGTTAATTGAGTGGTGAAGTCTCCAGCAATTATGGTTTTGTTTTTTACTTCTTTGATTAAATGTAGTGGTATTTTATTTATGAATCTGGGAGCTCCTGTGTTAGGTTCATATATATTTAGGATTGTTATATCTTCTTGCTATATTGCTCCCTTTATTATTATATAATGACTATCTTCATCTTTTTTAGCCATTGTTAATTTAAAGTCTATTTAATCTGATATGAGACTAGCTACTCCTGCTTCGTTTTGGTTTCCAATTGCATGGAATATTTTTTTCCTATCCCTTTACCTTAAATCTATGAGTATCCTTGTGAGTTATATGGGTTTCTTGGAGACAGCAGATACCTGGGTGTGTTTTTTCATCCATTCAGCCAGTCTGTATCTTTTTAAAGGAACATTAAGATCATTTATGTTCAATATTAGTATTGATATGTGAGATACTGTTCTGTTCATCATATTGAATGGTACCCAGTTACTTTGTTTTCTTCATTGTTTTATTGCTTTATAAGAGTTGTGACTTTAACTTTTGGATGTTTTCACATTGGTGGGTGTTGATTGTTCTTTTCCATGTATAGAGCACTTTAAAGCATTTCCTATAGGGAAGGTGTAGTGGTGACAAATTCCCTTAGTGTTTGCTTGTCTCGGAAAGAATTTATTTCTCCTTCATTTATGAAACTTAGTTTTTCAGGATACACAATTCTTGGCTAGCAGTTATTCTGTTTAAGAAGACTAAAAATAGGACACCAATCCCATCTGGCTTGAAAGGTCTCTGCTGAGAGGTCTGCTGTTAGTCTAATGGGTTTTTCTTTGCAAAGAACTTGTTGCTTTCATCTTGCAGCTTGTAGGATTTTCTCTTTCACTTTAGTCAGTATGATGATTATATGTCTCGGTGATGTCCTATTTGATATGAATCTTCCAGGTGTTAGATGACCATCTTGTATCTCAATATCTAAACCTCTAGCGATATCAGGGAAATTTTCCTCTATTATTCTCTCAAATAGGTTTTCCATGCTTGTTGTATTTTCTTCTTCTCCCTTGGGGAAACCTATAATTCTTATATTGGTTTGCTATGCATAATCCCATATTTTTCTCAGTGATTATTCTTTCTTCTTTGTTCTTTTTTTTTTCCTGTATTTTTACTGACTAGGTTACTTCAAAATCCTTGTCTTCAAGCTCTGAAATTCTTTCTTCTGCTTGGTCTAGTCTGTTGTCAAAACTTTCTCATGTATTTTGGAATTCCCTAAATGACTCTTTCATTTCTTTATCTCTTTTCTAAGTTAGCTATCTCTTTAGTGAATTTTTCATTTATGTCCTGAATTATTTTTTTGGTTTCTTTGAGATGGTTTTCTACCATTTCCTCAATTCCATTCATCTTACTTGCCATCCATAATCTGAATTTCGTATCTGTCATTTCAAGTTTCCTTTTGGTTGGAGTTCGTTACTGGAGAGCTATTGTGATCCTTTGGGGATGTTGAGACAGCCTGTTTTTACATGTTGCTAGAGTTTCTATGCTGGTGCTTTCTCATCTGGAGTCACTTCTTTCAGCTCGAAACAGATTGCAGATATGGTACACCTGTTCTCCTCTGCTGAGCCCTCTGTTGCTAGGTGATGATAGGGATGGGTCCCTGTATGGCACTTGGGTCCTATTCCAGAAGCTTGACCAGGCAGGAGAGGGGCAGCTACACTGTGAGCCTTTAATGCTGATGCACTGCTGGGTCTCCCTGGTGGTTGTAACCTGGCTGCTGTGGCAAGGCTGGCCCCTGGTGCCAGGTGTGGACCAGGTGTGCACACAAGGTGGAACTGGCTGGCAGGACAGGGCATGTGGGATGGAGAAGGTCCGCTGGGCACGGCATGCATGTGTAAGGCCTAGGCAGCTGAGGGGCTATGGGCTAGGTGAGGTCCTCATAGGGTGCTATGCAGGGCATAGCAGGTGCTCAGGGAGTAGCAGCCCTCAGACCTACAGGGAATGAGGTGGAGTGGCTCATAGCTCATTATAGGGGGTGGTGTGGGACCCTGGAAAAAGAGGGGCAGGGCATCTCCTTGGGAAGGAGCAGGTCCAGGGGTCACTTATGGTGCATGGGCGGGGGTAGGTAGGGTGCTCAGGTGGTGCCTGTGGAGGATGGTGTGGTCCATGGTGTGTAGACTGCCCAGGTCCAAAAGCCATGGCTGTGCTGGCTTTGATCCTGCTTGGGGCCTTTCAGGCAGTGGCAGAGGAAGCCTTGGTCCAGCTGTCCTGGAGTGGGCAGTGGGCACTCAGGGCTATGGAGGCGTGCTCTGCCTGGCCACAGTAAGTGCAGTTGAGCAGGATCACCCAGGCCACAGTAGCAGGTGCCAGGCCCTTGGTCTCCAGCTCTGCTCACCCCTGGGGGCAGCAGCAGCAGCAGGGGTGTACACCTCCTGCCCATGGGGCACTCATGAGCACTGGGATTTCTGCTCCCTCCCTGCCTGGCAGGGGCACCAGGAGGATGCAGTTGCCCATCTGCCCCCTGGGGCAAAAGTAGCGTTCTGGGGTTGGGATGTTACAATGGCACCAGCCACAGCACCCAGGTGCTGCAAGCCAGCCTTCCCTTCTCTCTGGAGCTGCAGCTGCACGGCCTGCAGTCACGTCTCTGTCCTAGTCTCAGGCCTGCTGCAGGGGAGGGGCCCTCCCGCTGCTCTGGTTGCAATATCCTCAGGGAATCCTGGAGTCTGGAATTTTTCCTCTTTCCCTTTCTTGTGTGTGGGCACCTTCCCTAATTACCGCTGGTCTTGCTGAGCAGCTCCTACTTCACTCCCACCTCCTCTCTGTGGATTTCTAGTGCTCTCACTCTCATGATCCATCAGAGCTGGGTGTCTCTTCACCATTTCAGTCCTCTCCATGAGAGCCGGGTTGTGCGGGCTGCGTGTAGTCCGTCAGCTTGGCCTCCAACCTCATTTAGGGCACATGATAACTCTGCAAAGTAGCCATTGGAAATTAACAGTGTATAAATGAGGTTACTGAGGCTTAGGGAGGTTAAATAAATAGATCGAGGGCACAGAACTAGAAATTGCAGAATTGAATTTGAACTCAGGTGTACTGACTCCAAAGTCCAAACCCTTCTCCTCACCTCTTGCTGTCACCTGACTCTTACTTGTCAGTGCCCTGGTTTGGGATTCAAAAGATATGGTCACTCAACTGTCCCTGCTTTGAATTTTTAGCACTGCCTGCCGGCAGGCACGCACATGCATGAGTGTGGTCGATGCGATTTCATTACATGTAAGAGCTAATGAAAAGTTTAATACAGACTCTTAGCTATTGAAAAGGCTTTGGAAGGAGAAAGGTAAAGAATTAAATACTTCCATAACTCAAAACTCCCACCTATGGTGCAGGTGATTTTTTTCCCCATTAGCTAGAGGAATTTGGGTAGGTAAGATACAGCTTATCAGAAGTCTTCCTTAGACTTTTTGAGGAAGACATAGTGGCAGCTGCAGCCTTCTAAGCTTAGTTAGAATGTTCTCACTTCCAGGTGGGAATCCACAAGTGACTCATTGACGTGCACAGTCCTTCTGGGATTGTTAAGCAGATTACTTCTAGCAGTATTGAGCGGAGCTGGGTGTCAGAGCCTCGGCTGTGTGGGCAGGGTGTGCTGAGCAGCGGTGGACTTTCTCGTCACCAACAAGCCACCTGCTGTGCTGCACAGCCCCAGTCCTTGAAGCAGAAGGGGGAACAGGATACTCATTAGCTGATTTCCTCCTGAGACCCAGCCAGAGAGGCAGAGCCCCAAGTGTACTTGCTTCTTGAGCTTTCTAGGACTCAGGGACTCAAGCGAACTAATACTCAGGAATGAAAAGATTTTAAATCAGAGATCGTTGGATCATTGCAAAGGTACCCCTGATTCACTGGATATTTTAAGCCAAAACACTCCATCTGAACCTAATCATTCTTTCCCAGGGCAAAGGCAATCATAACAACACCTTTTGGAAAATGTCCCAAACATAGACTGATACTTTTATCTTCATCACCTAAAGGCAAGATAGTCACAATGGAACTTTAAGAAACCTCCATGGAACTCATAATAAAACACTAAAATATCCTATTTCCATCGTCATGTTGATACAACAAATCTGTGGATCATCTTCATCCCACTGTATGATTTTGTTTCAAACAAACATTTTCCACAGGTATTGATCCCAGGAACGGAATCCCAAAATTAACTCCAGGGGACAATCCATATATGTACCCAGAGCAGAGTAAAGGCTTCTACAAAGCAGGAGCAACCCTCCCACCAGTGAATTTTTCAGTGTAAGTGTATGTTAATCCTAGAATTACTTAGTTAACTTTAAAGGAATTATGTCTCTTTCTATACATATAAATCATATTTTTAAGAGGAGTAGACCACATGAGGACATGATTGGATGAAAATTTCTTAAAAAGCTCATCTTTAATTAGTTTATACACATATGCATGTGTATAATTGAAATTATATGCAGAATCTTGACTGCAAAAGAGTGCATGTTAATTTTGTTCCTATTTCTATTTCCACAAATTTGAATTTTCATACCAAATCAGATTGTTGGTTAATGACTACTGTATGGCTTGATTTAAACTTGGAGCTACACTTAGACCAAAGTGCTTGAGAAGAACAGGAGGATCATTACATTGAAGGAAAAATAGTTGGTACATTACATTTAAAATATGATTTAAAAAATTAACCATGTGGGATATAGTGATGTTAATTAAAATGATAAAAATTAGGGTCCTTATGGGTTTGAAGTCTATATTTGAAAATTGAAACAAGAAAATAAGATATTCTATTGAACACAACGATGCATTGATCTCTGTTCTAGATGCCATCCTAATTTTATTATTTTTTTTAATTTCAGCATATTATGGGGGTACGAATGTTAAGGTTACGTATATTGCCCATGCTCCCCTCCCCCCTCGAGTCTGGGTATATACAAACATAATGAGTGAGATGTGCAACGTTTGGGGGATGGTCACGCTTGAAACCTAATTTTATTCTTGCCTTTTCTGTTTTTCAGAGTGCCTTATGAAAAGAAATTTGATACATTTATTCCACTTGAGCCTCTTCCACAAATTCCCAAGTGAGTTCTCTTAGCATGTTTTATCTTATCTCATCTTCATGGAATATCAATTATTTATTATTTTCTCCTGTGGAGGAGACTATAGACAACCAACACATGGGACTCTTTTGAATCCCTGCAGGAGTGTGGGACGGTTTGTAAGGTGGGTATTTGGAGAGACACATAGAGGTCAAGGGTTTGTGGAGTTGGCAATGGGGATGGCCACATATTCAACGGATGTAAATGACAAACTACGAGATGCCATGTGTTATGCTAGGTATGCACTATCGGGAATTTACATGGAGCAAAAAGACAGGGTCCTGGCTTTCCAGAACGTAAGTCTGTTGGAAAACAAAAACACATACTGAAATGATTGAAACCAGGGAGAATGGTTAGCTTCAAGAGTCAGAGAGAAAGCCAACAGAATACTCCTGTATTTGAGGGAAGTATCATTCCTCTAATTTCATACTTTTTCTCAGCTCCATTCTGAACCTCACTTATTTTACCTAAGTAGGTTTCTGACCTAGAAAGATATATTTTTCTTTCCTTTTACTTTCTAATACAAAACAGTCTCATATAAGTATGGATAGAGCGAGAAAGTGTCCCAGAGTCTGATCCACCCTGGAGCTCAGTGGGAATAAAAGCCTTTTATTTCCAACTTGAGACCTTATGTCACACAATTAGGGCTTCTCATATCTGTACTGTACATTTTTTTAATCAACACTACTGTAGAATATTCAAAATAATAGCAATTGCCTAAACTCCATTACCCTACCCAACTATTTTAGCTTTTGTACATTGCCTTTCATATGCAAATATGTTTTTACATGTATAAGTCATAGAATACCAATGAGTCTGGTTTTCCTTAAAAAAAAAAGGTATATATTTTTTTCAAAGTACAAAACATTGTATATCAGCATATCCTTTTGTGCTGTGGCCAATAAGAGAATTGGGATACTTGGGTGCTTTCTTTAGGGGACAGTCACCCTGATGAAAAAGTCCACTAACCAGTTAGTTATGGCAGGAGAGACAAAGGCTCTAGTTTCAGTTTCTGGTGCTAGATTTATCATTTATTGTTTCCTAGATTCACTATTTTCTTCTACAATGTCTAATTTGCTGTTAATCCATCTAGTGACTATTGTATTTTTAATCTTTAGAAATTCAATTTGAATTTTTTTTGAGATAGAGTCTTACTCTGTTGCCTGCGCTAGAATGCAGTGGTGTCATCGTAGCTCACTGCAACCTTCAACTCCTGGGCTCAGGTGATCCTTTTGCCTTAGCTTCCGAGTAGCTGGGACTACAAGGCATGTGCCACCATGCCCGGCTAATTTTTTATATATATATATTTTAGTTGTCCAGCTAATTTCTTTCTATTTTTTTTAGTAGAGATGGGGGTCTCACTCTTGCTCAGACTGGTCTCGGACTCCTGAGCTCAAATGATCTGTCCACCTTGGCCTCTTAGAGTGCTAGGATTATAGGCGTGAGCCACCACGCCTGGCCATTTCTGGGTGTTTCTACTGACTGATTTTTCTCCTGGTCTGGATCATATTTTCCTGCTTCTTGGCATGTCTAGTAATTTTTGTTTGCTACTAGAAATTATAATTTTATGTTGTTGAGTGTCTGGATTTTGTTGCATTCTTTTGAAGAGTGCCAGGCTTTGTTCTAGCAGGCACTTAAGTCACTTGCAATTTGGTTTGATCCTTTTGAGCCTTGCTTTCAAGCTTTGTTAGGGCATGTCTAAAGTAGCCTTTACTTTAGGGGTAGTTTAACCCCACTACTAAGTGAAGCATGGCCATTTTAGGGTCTTTACTATGTCTTAATTGAGGAGGCTTCACTTTAGTTGGTTGGAACTCAGATGATTTTTAGACCTTTGTGAGTCCTGGGAACTATTCAGTTCATGGTTTCCCAGCCACTCTGTTGTCTAATCTTGTGGAGTTCCATCCTACACATTTATGCCTTAATATTTAGCAAAGACTCAAAGAGAGTGCTATGCAAATCTCCGAAGGTCATTTTTTGTATAGCTTCTTCTGCAGAACTCTGTCTTCCAGCTTCCAATCCTCTAACACTTTCTGAACTCTGATCTTGGCTCCTCAAACTCAGAGAGAACACTGTGCTGTGCTTGGGATTACCCATCCCTATTATGTGGTCTCCACGCAATGTGCCTCCAGGCAAAATCTGGCCGATCCCAGGGCTCTCCTCCTTTGTTTTCCTTTTCTCCAGGATCACAGTCCTGTGCTGTCTGTTGTCTCACGTCTGAAAGCAGCTGCTTCATATATTTTGTCCAGTTTTATAGCTGTTTAACCAGGAGAGTAAATATGATCCCTGCTACTTCATTATGGCTGGAAACAAGACTCCTTGTCCCTTTGAATAAAAATCGTAGGTTTTTTTTCTTTCTCAAGTTATTTGATGAATCATCTTTGTACAGTTGCATTACTCTCATTACATTTATTCATGTCTTTAAATATTGTACTAACTCCCGGCTCCATCTCGCGAGCGAGCGGGTTGGGCTGTGACGCTGCTTCCGGGGTCAGAATGTCGTACCCAGGCTATCCCCCTACACGCTACCCACCTTTCCCTTGATATCCTCCTGCAGGTCAGGAATCATCTTTTCCCCCTCTAGGTCAGTATCCTTATCCTAGTGGCTTTCCTCCAGTGGGAGGAGGTACTTACCCACAAGTGCCAAGTAGTGGCTACCCAGGAGCTGGAGGGCACCCTGCACCTGGAGGTTACCCATCCCCGAGAGGCTATCCTGGTGTCCCACAGCCAGGGGGAGCTCCATCCTATCCCGGAGTTCCTCCTGGCCAAGGATTTGGAGTCCCACCAGGTGGAGCAGGCTTTTCTGGCTATCCACAGCCGCCTTCGCAGTCTTGTGGAGGTGGTCCAGCATGGGTCCCGCTACCTGGTGGCTCCCCTGGAGGACAGTATCCTGGAGGACAAGCTCCTTAACATAGTCAGCCTGCTTCGATGACTCAGGGCGCTCAAGGAACAGTCAGACCAGCTGCCAACTTCGATGCTATGATAGATGCAGAAATTCTCCATAAAGCAATGAAGGGTTTTGGGACAGACGAGCAAGCCATTGTGGATGTTGTGGCCAACCGTTCCAAAGATCAGAGGCAAAAAATTAAAGCAGCTTTTAATACCATGTATGGCGGGGATTTGATCAAAGATCTCAAATCAGAGTTAAGTGGAAATATGGAAGAACTAATCTTTGCCCTGTTCACGCCTCCTGCATATTACGATGCCTGGAGTTTACGGAACGCAGTGCAGGAGCAGGAACTCAGGAACGCGTATTGACTGAGATTTTGTGCACAAGAACAAATCAGGAAATCCGAGAAATCGTCAGAGGTTATCAATCAGAATTAGGATGGGACCTTGAAAAGGACAGTAGGTCAGATACATCAGGGCCTTTTGAATGTTTACTTGTATCCATGTGCCAGGGAAATCGTGATGACAACCAGAGTGTAAACCACCAAATGGCTCAGGAAGATGCTCAGCGTCTCTATCAAGCTGGTGAGGGAAGACTAGGGACAGATGAATCTTGCTTTAACATGATCCTTGCCACGAGAAGCTTTCCTCAGCTGAAAGCTACCATGGAGGCTTATTCCAGGATGGCTAATCGAGATTTGTTAAACAGTGTGGGCCGTGAGTTTTCTGGGTTTGTTGAAAGTAGTTTGAAGATCATCTTGCAGTGCGCCCTGAACCGCCCTGCCTTCTTTGCTGAGAGGCTCTACTACGCTATGAAAGGTGCTGGCACAGATGACTCCACCCTGGTCAGGACTGTGGCCACTCGAAGTGAGATTGATCTTGTGCAGATAAAACAGATGTTTACGCAGATGTATCAGAAGACCCTGGGCACAATGCTTGCAAGTGACACGAGTGGAGATTATCGAAGGCTGCTTCTACCCATTGTGGGCCAGTAGGAAGAATTTTTTTTTTTTTTACATGAATGAAGCTATTCATAGTTTACCCTTCAAAGCAGTGACCTGCATGCAGCAATATCAACCATCACCTAAGCAAAAGAGGTTTTTACTAAGGACTATGTCAGGGTAATGTGCTTGGTCTGCGCATGTTCTTGCCTTAATTCTAATTTTTTTCTTTATATACAATCAATGTAAAGCCATATCACTATGATGTAGTAATATCACAATGTTTGTTAAGCTTCATTCTCACTAATCTTATTCTAATCAGGATGTCAAATCGAATAAAAATCAAAACAATCTCAAAATAAATAAATAAATATTGTACTAATTGTGGGGGAGGAGGGGGAGGGGATGGGTATATTCACACCTAATGGGTGCGGTGTGCTCTGTCTGGGGGATGGACACACTTGAAACTCTGATTTAGGCAGGGCAAAGACAATATATGTAACCTAAACATTTGTGCCCCCAATATGCTGAAATAAAAAAAATTGTACTAATAGTGCTTGGAAATTTAAAAATGTTAAATTTGCAAATGCAGCAATCCAACTTTAAGGTAAGGAGATCTATAATCTTAGTACTTTGAGAGGGTGAGGTGGGAGGATTGCTTGAGTTCAGGAATTCAAGACCAGCCTGGGCAACATAGCAAGACCCAATTTCCAAAAAAAGTAGAAAAATTAGCCAGGCATGGTGGTATAGGCCTGTAGTCCCAGCTATTAATACTTGGGAGGCTGAGGCAGGAGGATTGCTTGAACTCAGGAGTTTGAGGTTGCAGTGAGCTATGATGATGCCACTAAACTCTAGCTGGGGTGACAGAGTAAAACCTTGTCTCAAAAAAAAAAAAAAAAAAGGTAAGGGAAAAATCTGATAAACAGATGTCTTATATGACATACCCAAGTCTTCCCTAACTAGTTAGTGACAGAGCCAGAATTAGAATAAAAATTAGGGAGATAAGATTAGATTACTCATTGAGAAGATCCCTATAATTTGTACCACGTCTACAGGAATTATTTAATCAGCTCCACAGATATCCGTAGAGCACGATTTATGCACTTGGCCTACAGAGGAAATGGGAAAGTGGTGAGGTAATGGAGGCAGGGGTCACAAGGATGAATAAGATATGATTCTCGTTTCAAGGCTCATTGTCTAGTGGGGGACAGAGACCAGTAAATGAGTCAACATAAAACAATTGAAAGCGAATATGGTACAATGTGCGCATAGTACACATGAGGAAGTTGGGAATGTGTTGTAGAGGAGGTGATATTTGATCTGGGTCTTAGGTGATAAGTCTGCCAGTGAAGAACAGGAGGCAGGCCATTCCAATTAATGCATCCTCCACAGAAAAAGTATTATGGTTTGCATGTATGTTAGGACACTTAAAATTTATTTTCACACATTTTAACAACTTTGAATGAGGATGCATCTTGCAATCAATGTAGGGTAGATGTCTTTAGTTAATAAGATGCTTCCGTTTGTACTTGAAAGTGTATTCTATTTTATCAGGATGCAGAGTTAGGTACATACCCAGAAGATTTACTTTATTGGTTATGTTTTGTTTTGTTTTTTGAGACAGGGCCTCACTCTGCAGCCCAGGCTGGAGTGCAGTGGTGCAATCATAGCTCACTATAACCTCAAATTCCTGGGCTCAAGTGGCCCTCCTGCTTCAGCCTCCTGAGTAGCTGGGACTACATATGTGTGCTACTGTGCCCAGCTAATTTTTAAAAGTTAAAAACTTTTTTTTTTTTTTTAGTGATGAGGTCTCACTATGTTGCCTAGGCTGGTCTTGAACTCCTGGCCTCAAGTGATCCTCCCGCCTCAGCTTCCCAAATTGCTAGCATTACAATTCGGCATGTCCCATCATGCTCAGTGTGCTGTGTTATTTAGTCTCTGTATTTCTTAGTTATTTTTGTCCATTTGGCCTAGCATAGACTGAAGTTGCTTTTGTAAAAGTAGGTCCAAAAAAAAAAAAAACAAAAAAAAGAAAAAAAAAAAAAAGGTCTAGTATTAGTGTGTTTCTGATAATACTTGTTGTT